AAACGCAAAACTGAAGGAGGGAATGGTATCAGAGCTTAAATTATGAATAGTTGGTTTTCAGATGGCTAGGGATGATTATGGAAGCCCCAAATACATGTGCAGAGTCCACGCATGCATTAATCCCCTGGTGAGTCTCCTTTGAGCATAGTCCAGGGATTGAATAGCCTTGCTATCAGACAGAGAGCACTGTAAAGCGATTTTGGAGGATGTAGTTAGTTAAAATGCAATACCATAATATTTGATCTCCCTGTTGACCCATTTTAAAGTTGTTTTGCTTTTTATATTTTCTGCTTTCTTTTCAATTGAGGTTTTTCTTGTCAGGCAGAAGCAAGAGTTAGCAGGGCAGGCAGGCTAGGAGACAGAGCTGGTGAAAACCCTTAAAGGGCACTACGAGAGGCCAGACCCCCTTGCCCTCTCCTCCTCTTCCCCTTCGGTGGCCTTCAGGCCCAGGTGCAGAAGACTAACCATTACAGATAACTTTGAACGCTGTTGCTTAGCTCCGGACCTCCAAACAACAAAGTTACAGTGGAAAATTCCCCAGCTACTCCCTTGCCCCAAACCCGGGCTATAAAACTCTCCACCTCTCACCTGGACAGTCTGACTTCGCAGGGTCCCAACTGGGGGCCCATGAACCTCACCAGGGAGCTCAGGATGCTCCCGTCCTTTTCTCTGCTCTCCCTTCCCTCCCCGGAGCTCTGAAATAAACCCTTGAAACTGTTTTCTGTCTTTGCCTTCTTTTTTTCTTTCCATCCCCAAATCACCCTCACATTTCTGTTTTGTTTTGTCATTGATGTTGTGTATTATTGTTGTTTTACGTGTTTTGTATGATTTTCTGTGTATGAAATTCAGGATATTATAGTGATAGTAATGATTAATAATTACCTAGGGGCATGACAAAGGAGGTTAGGGGTAAATGGGGAACTAACCACAATGGGTAAAAAAGAAAATGTTCTGAAATTGATTATGATGATGATTGCACAACTCTTCTTAATATGATTAAATGGTTAAATTGTATGATAAGTGACATATATGTCAATAAAACAACTTTTAAAAACAGAATGATGTCTGTATTAGGTTGACTAGAGAAACAAATCCAGTGACATTCATATAGATATACGAAAGAGCATTATATCAAGAAGTAATTATATATGTCAAGAAAGTGTCCCAGCCTAGTCCAACTCAAGTCCCTAAGTCCGATACTAGTCCATGAGTCCCTCTTCAGACTTACGCAGCCACCTGCAATGATGCAGAATGCAGGAAGGTCACAGGCCGGTGGGTTCGGAGTCATGTGGATCCAAGGTCGGTGGAAACATGGCCAGGCTCCAGCAGTTGTATGGATGGCCAGCAAGCAGGAAGGTGAGGTATGAGAGAGTCCTTATCAGAAGGCAACGCCCCCAATGGGGACAGCATCAGACCGTGATCTGATTGATAGGTCTGACTCCACTCCTAGCCATGAGTGTCTAGTTGTCACAGATGTAACTTCCACAGTGTCCTTCTCCAGTGATTGGTTTCTCCTGATAATGTCTATAAAGTATGCAAGGTGAACTCTTGCCATCCTTCTAAGGAGCATTCTGGCTGTACTTCTCCTAACGCAGATTTGTTTGTTCTTCTCAGGCCATGGCATAGTCAATATTCTTGGCCGATCCCACAATTCAGTGCTTTGTTTTTCCTTCAGTCTCCCTTATTCATTGTCGAGCTTTGCCCTTACATGAAGCAATTGCCAATGCCATGGCTTGACTCAGTGCACTTTAGTTCTAAAAGACATCTTTGCTTTTGAATAAGTCAATGAAGTATTTTGCAGCAGATCAGCCCAGTGCAATATGCTGTTTAATTGCTTGGCTGCTGCTTCCATGGGCACTGATTGTAAATCCAAGTAAAATAAAATTCTCAACTTCAATCTTTGCTCCATTTATCATGATGTTACTCATTGGTCCAGTTGTGAGGATTTGGGTTTCTTTATCTTGAGGTGCAATCCGTACTGAAGAATATATAGTCTTTGATTTTCATCAGTAAGTGCTTCAAATCCTTACTTACAGTAAGAATCCTATATAAAAAGGACATGAGCAAAAATTAGACTAAACAATAAATTTAAATTACTAATAAACATATTTTACCTCACTAATAATGAATTAATTCCACACAAAACAATTGTATACTAAATTCCAGTGATCAATACAAATAATTAAACTTATTTTAATCGTGCCTGAGACTGTCTCTCAAACATATTGCCGATGAGAGAGAAAATTAAAAAAAACAAAACAAAAACAGTTTGGCACCAAGTACTTGGAAACATAAAAATGCATATAAACATTGGCTTAGAAATTCTAAAATTTAAATATGGCTAGATGCAGCCTGAGAGCTATAGAACTATTTATGTATAAGATATTTATAGTTAAGAATAGGATTCAATCTAAATGTTCAGTGATAAGAAATGATTGAATCGGTAATAATACAACTATTTAATAGCGTACGAGGAAGTCATTATATATGATATTTTCTAAGACTTTCAATGACCTAACAATATTGGTAAGTGTAACAGGATGTGATGATCCTAAGTCAATTTGTATATGGGATCGCATATGTATATATCTGTGCATACTTCTAAATAATGATACACACAAAATATTCACAGTAGTTGCCCTCCACAAGGTGGACTGGCAGACTGGCTGTGACAATGGGCTCGAGCACAGAGATAATTGTGAGGGTGGCAGAGGCCTGGACTGCGTGTCTTGCTGTTGTTCGCAGTCCATGTGACTTGGAGCTGACTTCAGAGCAGCTCACAACAACACCCTTATAGAGTGGGTTCCAGGTGATGTTTCTTTTCCACTTTACACTCAGCTTCTCACTGTCTGCAAATATTGTTTCTACCATCAGAAAGAAGTAGAAATATTAATAGAAAGGCTAACTATAATGAGTAGATGTCTGCCCTTGTATTTTCTAAACATTTCCCTGGTTTTCTTTCCTTTGCTGCTTTGGAAAGAATCTAGGACAAGAAATCAGAAGGTGCTTGTTTAGCACGCCCAGTCAGTTGCTACCTGTGTAACCTTGGGATCCTTCAACTAAATTCAGTCTCAGTTTTCCCATCTGTAAATTTGGGATGTCTACCTTCTCTGCTTATTTTTACTATTGGATGCTTGTGAGATTTAAAGTGAGGTCACTAGGTTGATCCCAAAGAGATGGGGAAAATAATATAGAAATGAAGTTAGTGTGGAAGGGCTCTTAGTCAACCAGGTTCTAAAACTGCCAAATAAGAAAGGGCTAGATCTGGGGTCGTACAGGCTTGAAGACAAACAGGGGCCATCTAGCTAAGAAACAACAAAACCGACAAGGAAGAAGCACACCAGCTTACCCTGACACGAATGCTGAAGACAATGCGGGTACCTAAGCAAATACGGTGAAGAAAGCTGATGGTGCCAAGCTGTCAAATTACACAGAATCTGGGGTCCCACATGCTGGAAGATAAACAAGGGGCCATCTAACTGAGAAACAACAAAGCCCACATGGAGGAAGCACACCAGCCTGTAAGATGACAAGGCGGCGAAAGGGTCAGGTATCAGGCATCAAAGACCAAAACCAAATCATAACATTGTGAATGAGGGGGAGTGCAGAGTGGGGACCCAGGGCCCATCAGGGGAAATTGTACATCCCCTTCCAGAAGGGCTGTGGGGAGGTGAGGAGCAAATCGGAGTGCAGTGTAGTAACGATGAAATATGCAATTTTCCTCTGATTCTTAAATGCTTTCCCCCACCCCACTATCATGATCCCAATTCTACCTTACATATCCGGCTGGACCGAAGGAGGTGCACTGGCACAGATAGGAACTGGAAATACAGTGAACTCAGGACAGATGAACCCCCCAGGACCAGTGGAGAGAGTGGAGATGGCGGGAGGGTGGAGGGAAGGAGAGGGAGAAAGGGGGAACAGAGGACAAGGTCTACGTGTGGCCTCCTCCCTGGGGGACGGACAGCGGAGAAGTGGGTGAGGGAGACGTTGGATGGGGTAAGATATGATAAAATAATAATTAATTATAAATTATCAGGGGTTTCGGGGGGAGCGGGGAGGGAGGGGGAAAAATGAGCTGACACCAGGGGTTCAAGTGGAAAGCGGGTGTCATAAGAATGATGAAGTCAACATATGTACTAAGGTGCTGGACACAGATGACGTATGTACAGATTGTGATGAGTTGTATGAACCGCTAATAAAATAATTTAATAAAAAAAGAAAAGACTGGATTCCACAGGCCAATGTGGTCTTGAACTCAGGACTGCCTCTGCCAGTGGGCGCGCTTACCAGCAGTGACTGCAAAGATGCAGCGACGAATTAGGCGGAGAAAACCCTTACTACCCCACTGGGTATTTCAGGCTGACCCTTGCCTCGGCGTTGACAGCACAACAAATGTGTCGCTCTGCGAGCTCATTTATCTTATGTGAACGAGTGATAAGCCTGTTTTTTCATAGGGTTTCTGCCAGGCACGACTACATCCATGTACAGAGTAGGTGCGTTTTCTACACATAACGCAGGATGGTGCTCAACATAAATGGACTCATTCCCCTCTCAAGAGTTTTCAACCCTTCTGGAGCACTGTGTCGCATCGACTCCGTAGGGTGTCGTGAGAGAGGGCAATGAATGTACTGTACAAATGTGCTTTACACAATTGATGTATGTATGGATTGTGATAAGAGTTGTATGAGCCCCTAATAAAACGATTGAAAAGAAAAGAAAAGAAACGGCCCGCTTGTTTCCCTTGAACTTTAAAAAGGAAGAGATAAGCAGGTAAACAGGGTGGACACCATGAGGATGCTGATGATGCTCAAGAAACTGCGGGAGACAGGAAAGGAGCCAGCGACCGAGGCCTGGGACGCAACTGGCAAATGGTTCTCGCACCTTTTTCCAGAGGGAAGACTTCCAGCTGGTGTCTGCTGGTTTGGGAAACAAACCAACAACTTGTACCAAACCGATGCGGGCAGGGAAATCTGACTGCACGTTCCGTTTCTTTCCAGGAAAGACCGGCCACGCCGAAGTCGTCCGCGTTGTGTACCAGCCCGAACGCATCCGCTTTGAGGAGCTGCTCAAGGTCTTCTGGGAGAACCATGACCCGACGCAAGGTAGAGTGATGAGCGCGCCAGTATTTAATTATCTTACTAATTACAGCTGGGATAATTAGTATTTGAGCTGCATGGAAGAGATGAACCTTGAAATCACACAGGAGCTCAAGAATATGATTGCAGACATTTATTGACGGCGAGGAGGAGGGGCTGCGGAGGAAGCGGGGAGAGAATAAAGGCGCAGCCACACTCGGCACCCCTCCCCCCTCTACAGCTGTCAGGGGTGGGAAAATTCCCACCGAGAAAGCCGCCAGACAATAGAGATCCGTGCACCTTTGATTATTGCATTCTTCCTCTTTAATGCACTCTTTTGTCTACAAAATTAAAGTGTCTTTCCAGCAGCTCCAAAGTTTTCCTGATTTATGGTTCCATTATTTCCTTGAATTTCGCCTTTCTCATCTTCTGACATCGGGTTGTTGTATTTTTTTTTTCCTGTTTTGTTTTGTTTATGCCCTTTACTGCCTGTGGGTGAAAAAAAAAATTGAGTATCAAGGTAAAATGCAGTTTTCAGTGGGCCTTTGGTAATTTAAGTATTTTATTTGTGTTGTTTGGCTTGGGTTGTGTGGACCGAACATTTCATTTAATGCACACACATACAAAAATCCCTTGTTGGCAAATATCAAAGCGTTCAGTAATAATTTCCCGAATTCATTTTACCCGCCGTACTCCTGCTACTTTGCTAATTTGATGAACTGATATTATGAAGCTCATGAACTGAGTGAGAAGTCTTATATAATAGATGTGATTTTCACAGCCCTTGATTATTTAGCAATCAGTCTATTTCCCCTGCAGTGTCAGGATTTTGTGTAGTGGGTATGCAATGGTGACTATTCAGTGATGAACCGGTGCCTCATGTTCGGGTGCCGCATGTCCACAGCAGCACCGGTTGATGGGTTCAGAGTTTGGGTTCCAAGAATCATTCACAACCAGAGTGGGTTAGAAAAGGCCAAAGCTCAGAGGCAGAGCTGGAGCAAGGCAGGGCAAGTCTGGGATTCAGTCAGATATTCTAGGGAAGATGAAGGCGTGTGGACTGGGCCTCGGAAGGCCAGGGACAGTTTTGTTTTGTTTTGTTCTGAATGCTATTTGAATCGAGTTTGGCATGGAATGATTTCCTAGTAGGGTGGTAGTGGATGAAGTATGAGGTAGAAGAGGTAGCAGATTAGCAAGATAAATACGGTTATCTGAAGAATCACCACCATTTGAAGTACTGGATTGCCGTTATTGTACAAAAAAGGCAGGCCTGAAGGGTAGACACCTGGGCTCAGCTGGAATTGGTAAGCATTATAAATAAGAGTGGTGATGGCCAGGAGTGTCTACAGATAAGTCTTCTAGCAGGAAGGAGCATACCATTCAGCTATGTGACCATCAAAGCCAAGGATCAGGGCAGGACACCAAGAGCTCCAAGATTATTAATTGGAGAGACACACCGGGAGCCTGCGCAGGCCTGAACTATTGTAGGAAATTTACCCACAGGCCCACAGGTGGGGTATATGCTTTGGGCCTGGCTAGTCATAAGGCTTTGTGTTGATAATAGACTCACCTTAGACCCAACCCTGCCAACATTTCTAGGTAGATGAAGTTAGTCATAATTATTTTTTGCTTATCTCTCTTACCTTCTTACACATTTTATCACATCTTTACCTACATATCTCAGCTAATATGGTCATTATTACTGGTGCCTGTACTCAGGAATTATCTAACTTTGAAGAACCTTAGTCTCCTCCTCCCATTAATCTTGTCTCAACTGTGCCTCAGTCCTTTAATTCAACCATCTCTTTAGAAAGTAATGATTTACCATCCGATGATGTAAGGAGCCCTGGCAGCGTTGTGGGTTACAGGTTGAGCTGCTAGCTTCAAGGTCATCTTTTCAAAGCCATCAGCTGCTCTGAGGGAGAAAGTGAGGCTCTTGACTTCCACCGTGTCCAGATGCCCTCAGGACATTTCTACTCTGCCCTTGCAGGTGCCTAGTGAGTCAGAGTCAACTGGATGGCAGCGAGGTTTTTTAGGTTTTGGGGTTTTTTTTGAGGTCCGATGACATATTAATGACTGATATTAGTTTTAGTCACTATTCTTTCAGAGGTATTTTATTTCTAACAGATGACTTATGGACTCATACTGGAGAGTCCACATGGTGAAACTCCACAGACTCGACCCTGTTCATTTCAATGCAATTAGTCACAAGACTAAATTGCTAGTGGTGGAGTTCACATACAGTGTGTTTTGATTTTTGAATGGCATTTTTTTTCCAACTGATCATTCGGACAGTTTGCACATATAGGAGCAGAGTTTTTCTCGCCGTGAATACATAAGTTTCTTTAAGTGTAGGACTTGAGGCAGTGTAACAGTCACATGTTAACTTCACCTGACAACCAATATTTCCACATGATTATTAGAATTACTTTTGGGGGATAGCCCAATGTCAGGGGTATGCTGACAATCTTTTTCTGCCTTGCAAAGCATCCCAGGACCCTTTAGGAAATAGACCCTGCTTCACGGACCAAAGGGATTGGTACATGACATGACTTAGGCTTGGCCAATCACAATATTATCCTGTGATTCTGAACAGGATTTGATTCCCGACATGGGAATGGGACCCAACAGATCCAATTTGAATACTTTTATTTTTTAATTGTTAAATGAGAGAAAGTGATGCTCTTCTTTTGCTGGGGTGCCAGTTGGACTTGCTCCCTATGTGGAAAGAAACTAAGGATCAAGCGGCAGTCACGGAGAGATGAGAGACAGTAAGAGAGAGCATCCAGGAGACACGAGTCCCTGAAGCCCCATTCCCACAGTCCTCACATCAGTTCTGAAAGCTCTTCTGGTAGTTTTCAAAGCTTTCAGAGCTTCTAGGTTGCCTATTTTTAAGATTCCTAATGATTTTGCCAACTCTTTGATGAGGTGATTTTAGTTTGGTTTTTAATTTGACAAAATGTTTTGATAATGTCTGCTCCCATAAAGATCTATTCTGACATTCTAAGGAGCAGTTCTACTCTGTACTATAGCGCTGCTATGGCCAGAACCGACTGATGGCAGTAGGTTTGACAGTGAGTTTATTGAAAGTCTAGCATGCAGGACTGCCCAGGCTGGGAAATCACCTTACCCATCAGTCAAGCACCACTTCCCTGAACAACTCTTTGATTCTCTCCGCAACATTATATAGTGACGCTTGTGAAATCTCTCAGTGAAAAGGGGCCCTGAAACGACGACCACCAATGGATTGTTCTTACTTAGAAAATGGTAGTTTAGAAGAGAACAGCATGCCAAATTTGGTGAAAACTCGGACCTGTAAGGCAATAACTGGTTCCATGTTCTTAGATATAAGCACTACTTGGGAAGTATTCTTGCTTATTCTCAGCAAATTTGTTATTCTCAACAATAATATGATTCAGAAGAAATGCATTTAAATTAAAAATTGAAAGTCTGGTACCTATTTATAAAGTCATTAAGGATCTAAAGGGGGCACTTAAATTTTTCAATTATAATTTACCATATTTGGTGCAAGTAACAACATTTTTAAAAAACATTTTATTAGGGGCTCATACAACTGTTATCGCAATCCATAAACACATCAATTGTGTAAAGCGCATTTGTACATCATTCTCAGAACATTTTCCCTCCACTTAACCCCACGACATTATGTCCTCATTTTTCCCCTCCCTCCCC